AACTTTAGTTACTGTCAGCATAGTGTTTTTCTTTAGGATTGAAAATACTGTCTGTTCACTGGAATGCTGGGCTTGGTGTTAAAAGAAGGGGTTCTGTATGAGGTTAACCTAAAATCTTACCTGGCAGCTGCAAAAGGAAGCGCCGACCCCAGAGGAGGCCCAGTCTGTCGGAGAACATCTGGGTTACCAAGGCAATGACCTTCTCATTATTCAGATAGAAGGGAGGAAGCCCAATTTCGAAGTGGGATCATCAAGTCAGCTCAAGCTCTCTTTTGCCAAGAGACCTGGTCCTTCAGGTAAGGCATGATGCATGCTGAATATCTGGATTTGGTGGCTCTCAGTGACAGGTATCACTTGCAACAGGGGGACAGTTCCCAAGTAGGGAGTGCTACAGTGAAAACCTATGAAGTGAGGCTTCCTAAAGTTGCTTGAACTCTGTTTGGAGTAGATGGGACAAAGGCTGGAATAATTGCTATTTCTTCCTTTGTTTGGTTCCAGGAAAACCCTCTGTGGACCCAGCTGCTGCCAAGCTGTGGACACTGTCTGCCAATGATATGAATGATGAAGAGATGGTAAGTGATTTTCTTTGTGAGGCTCTGCTGTTCCTTCTCTCTCCCCATTCTTTCCTATTCTAAATATTTTCAGTGATGTCTCTTGGGAGGCTTTACAACTTCAGAGGTAGAAAAACCTCCCTAAGGCAAAATAGCTCATTATCTCCATGGGGTCTGGAGAGCTCAGTGATGTGGTGAGGACAGAGAGGAGACAGGGATAAGAGGACAGAACTGCAGCACTTTCATGCCAGTGTACAGATAGCACCATTTCTTTGAAGATGACTCAGTAGTGCCATTCCCTACTGAAAAGTCCATTTCCTGCATTTTGTCTCTCATGGTGTATTTTCAGGATCTTTTGGACTCTGATGAGCTGTTGGATTCAGAGGATTTGAAAAAGCCAGATCCATCGTCGCTCAGAGCTCCATCCTGCAAAGAAATGGGCAAAAAGAAAGCCTGCAAGAACTGGTCAGTGCTGGAATTCATGTATCAGTGGACCTTTCAACTGCAGCATTGAACTCCTAAGAGTTAGAGAGATTTAAAAAAGATTGTAGGCAATTTGCTGTTCTTTAGAGCCTAACTCTCTTGGTTCGTGTCCTTTATTATCTTAATTATTGGAATGTAAATTCAAAAACAGTGATAATTGACCTGTGACTGTTACAAATGATCACGATGGTGTATATTATCAACAGCCACATTGGAGGTGACTGCATAGCTTGTGCAGCTTGCCTAAAACCCTGGTTTCTCACATTGTAAGGAGAAACAGCACATGTAGCAAGTGCTGTAGTGTCATTTCCCACTCAGTTTAAACTTGAGGGATGTTTCAACACTTGTTATACAAACCGTGGTGTTGAAGAACAAAGTGAGGAGTGTGAGTCCCAGAGTTAGCCGTGTCGTGTGACAGTTGTCATGTGACACTGTTGCATGTGAGTAGGGCTGGCACAAGTGTTGATGACTCATGACCTTTAAGTAGGAAGATGCAGGTGACTTTTTTGTTTTTCTGCAGCACATGTGGCCTGGCTGAAGAACTGGAACAGGAGAAGAAGAGCTCACAGCCCAAATCTGCCTGTGGAAATGTAATTAGTAATTTTTGTCTTTATACTATGGTCTGCAGTATATGATCTCTATGTAAGAATTGTGTTCCCTAGTCACTGCTGCCTGAGCTGGATTACTGCTTCCACACACTGCCCATGCAGCTTCTACAGAGTTTTAGCCTTTGCCCTGTGCCCATGCAGTCTGTTCTGACTCCCTGGGGGAATCAGAGTGAGCAGTGAGAATTTCCCTCTCTGCTCATGGCCTAACCAGGGATCTGCCCAGGGAGGATTGTGTTGTGGGAGCTCAGGGGGCTGCCTCAGCCTGTGCACACCAAGTGGGGTGGTGACTCATTTCTGTGCGAGCCCAATGCCTGCACAGCTCTGCCATCCACACTAACCAGATGTGTTGAGAAGGGGGTAGAAGGGAAGCAGTTTCTATGCTCATAGATGCTGAGAAGCATGATGTCTCTTGACCTGGAGAAGCTGTATCATAGAGGAAGAGACTTGAAAGTGGCACCTGATTACAGACAGTGCTTTTCTTTCCCTTGCCAGTGCTACCTGGGGGATGCATTCCGCTGTGCCAGCTGCCCTTACCTGGGGATGCCTGCCTTCAAGCCTGGGGAGAAGATTCTCCTGCAAGAGAACCAGCTGCACGATGCCTAACAAAGATGTGTCCTGCCAAGGACTCTGCTGCTTTTCTGTCACTCTGAGGTTCTTCCTGCAGTCCTCCTCATCCTCTCCAACTCATGCTCTCCAGCCAATACTCCATGTGGGGAGGGACACTGCGGGCACTGACACTGCTGTGAGCTCACCACTTGTCATCAGCCTTGGGCTACCAGATCCTCTGGTGACAAGTCATGTATTAGACTTTATGTTACACCTTGTTTTGGCTGACCTGACTTGATCCCGGACGCTGGCCGTCACAGCGTGTCCCACCAGCAGGGGGAAGTACAGTCACGTGTTGTCCTTGTGTGCCTGTGGCATTTCCCATGCCCGTGTCCTACAGCTGTAATTAGTCCTGATTTTCCCCCGTGAATCTGCAGCTCTGGCTCAGCCCCCGGGGTGACTGGGCTCCTGCTCTCTTTGAAATTTGAACCTGCAGCCCTTTGTCATGTGAAGGTGGTTCAGCAGCTCCTGTGGCAAGTCAGGAGCAGGGAGTACACTTAGCAATATGTACTCTTAGCAGTGTGCATGGGAAAGGCTGACAGGCATGATGAATTTCCAAGTGTATTGGGAGCCCCTACCCCCAGCTGTTTTCAGCAAAATGACAAGATTCAGTCCTACCAAGAACTCCTGCCTTTAAGGCAGGGAGCCGATGGAACAAGATCTGTCTTGTCTTCCCACTGCTTTCAGTCCAACACGAACAGATAACACAAGGGCAATCTGAGACTGTCACCTCTCTTGGTGGTTACCCAGATGAGTTACCTGCAGTGTCAAATACATAAGAACATAGCAATAACTTAATTTCTAGATGATCTGTGGTGGCCCTCTGCTCCCTCTCCATGAGATACTATTTATTTCTGTAGTTCCTGCTAGTGAAGCATCCTGCAGGTGTGGGATGAGGGTGCTGTTCACATTTTGTGCCAGGCTTGCTTCTCACCCAGGGAGGGGGAGGAGGAAAGCCCACACCCAGTGTCTCAGTGGGGACTGCTTTGTTTGGAGCTCTTGATCTACAGGATGTGACTTCTTGTGTGCTACCTGAGTTACTAAACTCATGGAGGGGGCTGGGATGAGAGGCTGTTCTGTTCTTGAAATAAAAGTGACCAATAGTAAAGCCTTTGTTTTAAGGCTGGTATTAGTGGTATTCTAAGTGTGTCTCCTTCTGTGCAGCCTCTCAATGATTTCTTAAACTCTTCAAATGTTAGGTTGCATCTTGGAGTTCTCCATAAATTGTTCCTCTGAAAACTTGACTTGAATATGTGATATGCACTGGAAACAACAGATATTAAGGAAAACTTGAGAAAACTCCTTTCTGACTGCTCAGATGCTTGCACTGCCCCAGGCTGTCACTGGTGGGATTGAAGCCCCTTCTTTCCAGAGCAAGGCTTTCCCAGACCCCTCTGTCACTCCCTGCCTTTGTCATAAGTGGGAACAGCTCCCAGGGAGACAGGATTTGTGTGATAAACCACCTGTCCAACCACCTTGTTGCTCCTAGCTAGTGATGTAAGGGAATGGGCAAAAGCCTCAGCACACTTGGGGCTTTTGAGAGTTTTATTGCCTTTTCTCAGCCCCACTGGTAGAAGACCAGATCTCTTTATGAGGCCCCCAATAAAGGCAGCCCTTACCCTGAACTCTGCTTTCCTCTTGCCCAAACAGGGAGAAGCAGCATTTTCACTTTTGTTTCTCTGCATGAGTCAGCCTTCCTTTTTATGGCCAGCAGAGCTGGGGGGGCAGCAAGGACACGCTTCATGCTCCTGGCAGGAAAACCCATCGTGGATGTTTCACTCATCTGCCTTGGGTGCACACAGAGACAGGGAGCCCTCTCCAAATGGAGCAGTCTGGGGCAAGGAGGGCATTGTGTTTATCATTGCTTTATCTTCACATATTTGCTTAACTGCTTGTGATAGCATCTTTGAGAAGTGAAATTTGGAGGCCCAGCTCTGGCTATAGTAGCTGCTTCACTTTTTAAAAATAACCAGTGGGCAATGATTGCCCCCACCCTTCCTGCCTGCACTGGAGAGGTTGCCTCAGTTAGTTCCTCCAGCAGCCTTTCCCTGCCTCTTGCTCACTGGTGTTATTGCTCCAAGGCTATTTCATGGCTTCTTGTCTGGATCCCTGTTAAAAATGCTATCCCAGATCTGATTCCCCACTAACCTTGGGCATAAAGGAGTATCCAAATGCAGCACTATGATTGTCCCAGCTTCCTCCATTTCATCGATCAATAACTCTTCCCTGGTGAAGCAATGAGCCATGTTTTTCCCTCCACTTCTTTTAAGGCAGTTAAGCAAACGCAGAGCCTGTGGCAGCCCTTGTTAGTCTTAATTTGATTTGTACCTCAGCTTTCCAATTTTGCCTCTGCAATTTAGTGAACATGTCATTCTGTTCATGTCCTTTGTGGTTTTCCTCATGGCCTTCTATTTTGACCAGTGGGATTCTGAAGAACTCTGCAGCTATATTTGCCTCCTCTGAAACTTTCCCCCTTCCCTAAGTAAATAATAGGTGGCTGCCAAGGCTGTTAGTACAAGTCTCAGGTGTCTGTACCTCTTAGCTGAAAGCTTTTTGGGGTCATCTCTGAACCTCAGCATCTGTTGTGGCTGTAACACTAAATCATTAGAGCTATGTGCTGGTTTCAAATTCAGTGGGAAAATTAACTCCACTCAAGCTGCTCCTCTTCCCCATCCTCTTCCAATAGCAGAGGAAACACCAGGCGAGACCACAAGTGGGAATCATAGTTTTACTGAAAAACTCACAATAAACTCAACATTATCAAAAAAGAGGGCACAAAAGAGAGTGCTCTACCCACGAGAAGGGTATTCACCAGCAAACCAGCAAAAACACCTAGCCACTCCCAGTACAAAGCAGATCCATGTGCATCACTGCAGCACCATCTCTGTGAAGCAAGCAATGCTTTTCCATCCTTGCCACTTGAGTTTCAAGTGAGTGAATGAGAGCAAGGTCAACCCACATCACAGCAGATGCCTGCTCCAGAGAAAATCCAGAAGATTGCTTCAGGACTTCTCATGGCCATGCCACCCAGCACATCCAGGACCAAGCTCTTCCTGAACACCATGTTGGCCACACAGTATACAGTGTCATTCCTGAACATGGAGCAAGTAGCTAGAGGAGCCTGTCAGTGACTACAGACTGAAAAAGAGTTGCTGAGGCTTGGCACTGTTTGGAGCCACAGAAGGCAAGGGGAAAACAGGCTCAAAAGCTCTGTCGTCACCATTAGCCATGGCTTCTTCCACAGGAACATAAAGCAGGGTTCTGCAGCCACCTGGGGGTAAAATGTGTCTTTGGTCACCATGACTGCACTGCTGTATGAACAAACACCTAGTTTTTGAGGAGGACAACCCCAACAGGTGGACAACAAGCTGCTCACCTCCCTCATTTGCCCTCTTCCTTGGAGGAGACATCCATCTCTGTGCTGGCAGCACTGCCATCCCCAGCACTCTGCTTCTGTTGTGATGGCTTGATCTCAGTGTAAATGACATTAGAGGCAGGTCCTGTCTCCTTCTTTCCAAAATTCAGGTTGGCATAGGTCAGGTCCTCAGTCCCTGTCATTGGGGCTGCCTGCAGGGAGAGAACAATAGGTAGAGCCTTGGCTTTCTTTTTCTGTGTCTCCCCTGCTAATATTTTTCCACTGGCACTACTCTTTGTGCTGCCCAAGCATTACCCAGATTACTCAGAAGTGCCACCTACTTGAACACTCATAAGCCCTTATTTAATAGGAGTTAATAAGTGTTTAGGACCATGTTTTCAGAAAAGCAAAGCTGATTTTACTATGAAATCCTTACGTGTGTATTCAACAGACAATGCTTTTTTTTGACAGGGAGGAGGAAGCCATATGTGCAAAGCCCTCCCTGGCTTACCATATTGACCTGATTCCTCTCTGCCACTTCCCCGCTCATGAGCTCTCCTGAAAAAGGAAACTTAGTTTAAAAAGTAGTTAAAATAGTGACAATGATCATTATTTTAAATTAAGAAAATAATGGAAGAATCAAGAAAACATCTGCATCGGTCCTGCTTTTGTTGTGGGAGAGGATAAGACACTGTGGCTCTGTGGTTCTGAAGATGGCCAAGGGGCTGCAGGGGTTGGCAAGGGCTTAAAAGCCCTTGAAGGGGCTGGAGAAGAGCCCTTCTGTCCCGAGGTGGACACTTCTGGATATGAAAGACCTGTTTCAATCACACAACAGGTTGTGCCATAACCAGACTCCCACCAGCAACTGGCCAGAAGGAAGGGAGTGGGGTGAACCTTCTCACCATGCTAGGACACCTTCTTCAGGAGGACTTGTGAAGGGAACATGGAGCAAGCAAGAGCAGTAGATGATGCAAAGATGGACATCTCCCAAGCCTGGCTTTGTCCAGACCAGCAGTTGAGGAAGAAATGCCAACCTGTTTTGTTCCTTGTGCACTGCCACAGCAGGAAGCCAATTACCGGCATGTAAAGGAGTGTCCCGACCGCTAAGCCAAGGAGGATGCACAGGAGGAGGTTGAGTCCTGCACACACAACATCACAGAGGCACTCGTGAGCTACCTTCTCCCAGGGTCAGTTTCTTCCCAGACTTGGGCTTCCAGACCCTGAACCACCTATAGCTTCAAGGTGCTGACAAAATCCTGTGGGGAATGGTCTCCAAACCCATCCAGGGGGTAGCTGGAGCAATAGAGCCCCTTCCCAGCACCACAGCCTCTGGTCCCTACCCCAGTTTGGCAGTGGGTCCCACCCACTCATGGGAAAACAACTGGCTGTTTTCTCCCTTACTGCTCCTCCCTCTTTTTCCCTGAGGTCTCCTCCTGCCCTCCACTCTTGCAGCCAGGGGACTGTGAGGACACACCTGTCCAGATCTTCCCTGTGACATCAGTCGGAGGTTCTGCACAGCCACAGCCTGAAAGACAGAAACATGAGTGAGAGACTGTCCAGAGGCAGAGATCACCCTGCACCCTGCTCTGCTTTGCAGCAGAAGTCTTGACCCCACAGTCCTGGATGTCCCTCTCCTGCCACCACAGCTCCAGCCATGTCAGTATTTGGCTGATGTGCTGCAGCTGGAGGATATGGCCTGTCCTAGGAAAGAACCAATGGCCCAGCAGCTCCATGGGGGATGAATCTGCCAAAAGCTGCTGTTCCAGGTTGGCTCCTCCAGTTCTCAGGGTGCTTTCAGGGGAAACAATGCATGGAAGAACCAGAGGAGTGCTGGATGTAGCATCCTTCTCTGCCCCCTCATGTCCCCCATGGAAACAGACCCACAGCCACTTACTGTGAACTGCTGCTTGCGTGCTGTTTCCAGTGTCTGTCAAGTTTGGTCTTGTGATGAAGACCCTACATGCACAGATTCCTGTGTGGGCTGTACACGGGCTTGAGCTGGTGAAATTCATACAGTTTTCTCCCAGAATCACAGTGTTGGTTTGATTCTCCCCCTCCAGACATTCAGGTTTGCACCACTTCACCTGCACCGTGAGATTTTCCAAACAAATCTCGAACTGCACAGTGGTGCCTGGCTGTACCAGCTGACTGACTGCTCCTGAAGGAAACAAAACCAGAAGTGATAGCTGAAATATATATGATCTTACAGGGTCATGTCCCATGTGTCACTCATGAAAGACACAATGAAGTGACTGTCCTTTTCTGCAGCAGCTGATGATCCTTTCTAAACCTAGCTGCTAACAATTCTAAGCATTCTAACCATGCTAAGCACTCAACACTGAAATGTTGCCTGTTGACTTGTGCCACTGGATGCTGTGCAGAGCACAAACTTTTCTGTGCATCAGGAAGGATTGGAAACATGAGGATCAGGGAGAAGGCACCTCCTCCCCCTGTGACATAGGCACCCAAGCAGGAAGTGCCTCAGGCTCCACTATTTCATGGAGCATGAGGTGGGACTGGGGGATTGGCAGTGGAGAAAGGTCAGCCCTAGATAAGCAAAGAAAATATAGTAAACAGATTCCCTGCAGTGTCTCTGGCTTCATCCCACCCCATAATGCTCACTCTGGAGTACTTCAGAATCACTCTCTGAGCTGAAGTCACTTCACACGTTCTCAGCTGAGTCTTCCCTCTCTCACCTCTCTTCAGTCCTTTCTTACCACTCAGAGGGGTGTTAGTGGACTTCTGCCCCTTACCACCCTTGCTCAGTTCAGAACATCTGCTCTTGGACACATTCGTTGTGTTCAGCACCCTGAATGTGTACATTCCTGCATTTGCTTTGTTCACATTGGCAAAGATGAGCTGGGCCAGATCATTTTTCTTCTCCACACCCCCTCCATTCTGCTGTTTTCCATTGTTTCAGGTGACACTAAACCACTTCACCTCCCTGGTGGTACTGCTTGAGCCTGCCTGAGGAAGACACTGCAAGATGAGATCTAACCCTACCAACACATCAATTGTGGCTGAATTCCGGTGAGCAAGTCTTGATGGGGAAAAAAAAAATCCTATGGGAGGACTGGTTTTGTCTTAAGGAATACCCACATCTGCCATGTGAAGCTGACCCCCCTCTGCAGTAATTTGGCTTATAAGCATTTCTGTTTCCTTCCCTGCCACTGTCTTTTCTCCCTGCTGCTGAAGGCAGAGCTGGTTCAAAGCCCCAGAGCTCACAGCCTGTGCATGCACAGCTGCAAGGGGGACCCCTCTGCAAGGCACATGGCAAGCTGCTGCTGCTGAGAGGGGCTAAATTATGCAAGAGGAGAGACAAAAGCAGCAGCAGGCACTTTCCACACCTCCTGCACACATAAGCAAAGAGGGAAGAGTTCAGAGCAGAGGCAAGGGCACTGGGGGACTCACCAACTGGCAGCCAGGTGAGGAGCAGCAGGGGCAGAAAGGTGTTGGCCTGCCAGAGCTCCATGCTTCTCAATAGCCTTATGGTGACCATGCTGGGTGCCTGGTGAGATCAGCCAGGAGCCTCTGTCTCTCCCTGAAGTGTAGGGTCACTGGTCAGCCAAGGGGAGCTGAAGCCTTGCCGGGGCCTCACCCCTTCACCACTGGACCAGGCAGTTCCCTCTGTGCTCACAGGCTTCCTCTTTCTTCTCCTCCTCTTACCTCAGCCCAATTCTTATCTCCTCTCTTCTATGATTCCTCCTCCGGTTTCCTCCTGTCCACATACTCTCGGCCCAGAGACCTGACTAATGCCCCCAGGAGCTGCTGATGGCCATTTCCCAATACTCCAGGGCCCAGCCCAGCAGCTCCCTGCCACTTTCCAAGTTTCCTACAGCACCACCTCCCCATACCACCCGAGTCTGTTTTGTTTTACACCAGGGAATGGATCGCTTGGAGGAAGCGGTGCTGCTGTCACGGCAGGGGGATGGGGAGATGTCCACACCCATCTGGTTATGGGGTGTGCTCACTTAGCCCAGGTGGGGACACACACACTGTGCCAGTCCCCAGGGACTTGTGGTTTGACATGGGGATGGGCTTGATCAGAGTGTTCTGGCTGTGGGACATACACGGCCCTGCAGAGCCCTGTCCCCAGTTTGACCATGAGTACCCAGATCCCAGCTCCTGCCCAGCCCCTGTACTTCCCTGCCACCTCTGGCATGAGGGACACTAGGACATGAACACCCACCAGGCCAGACACAGCTTGTGTCACCCCTGCCACCAAGGGGACATGTGCAGCAGTCAGCAGGTGCAGGCCCCTCTCTCTCCCCAGCCTCTGTGGGTGGAATCTCTGCTGCTCCTCACTGCCTGCCACCACTTTTCCTCTTCATGCTCAGAGCAAAACCTCCTCCCATCTGCCATTTCCTCCCCTTTGGTTTCTATCAGCACCCATAGTAACCACCCTCCACACCATGCTGGGCACACGAGTCCAGCCACACATGTCTCCAGAAGAAAGGGTGTTCACTGGAGCTCTGCTCCACCAGCCAGTGGTTCAGCTTCCTGGTTGAAGCTGAGGTCTCAACTGCAAACCAACCCACACGAGAAAACAGCAACACCAGCATGGTATTTGCAGATAAGAGGGTACAAGATCCACAAGAATGGCAAGTGAGAGGTTCTGTATCCCTCTTGCTCTCCCCTCTGGACCTCTTCATCTCTTCCCATGCTCTTTCTGATGTCCAGTTCCTCTCTGCATTCGAATATTTGTCTTCTCTCATTTCACTATTGCATAATGATGTGTACTTGTTTGCTTCCTTCCTTTTCATTTCTATTCTGGTTCCCACGTTTCCTGGCACTGATGAACCCAAGACCTTCTCCACCAGGAAGTGCCTTCTCCATGTTCCCAGCTGTGGTCCTGGTGGGACTAAAGGTTAATGTCTTGCCTTCTGCTGACTCTACAGAGCTGCTCCCCTACCACAGCCCCTTCCAGCTCCACAGCCACATTCCACGGTGCTCTCTGCCAAGGAGAAAAGAGCAGGAAATGACAATGCTGCTATTGATAACAGGGTCAGCAGCAGCTACACCAGGCACTATGCAATGTCCACACCAATAGGGAGGTTACAGAGTTCCTCAGGAGCTCCCCACTCCCTTGAAGTGAAACGAGGGAAACAGAACGTGCCACCAAGGCCTTCCTTGACCTTGACCGATGCTGGGAAGGATGAGGAGAGATGTGAGAAGTGCTGTCCTCAGCCGGTTCGTGGTGGCTCTTCCTTGGGTAGCGCGGTGCTCTGCCCTCGCAGGGTCGTCAAAAGCGATCCTGCCCTCGGCCCGAACCTCACAGCACTGTGGGGCTGACGGGGCTCGGGGGCACATTGATCTGAGGCCCCTGAGCCCTCACCGAGCTGTGCACGGACGAGCCAGCGTCAGAGCCCCCGGTGTTGGTGACACGGAGCAGGAGGTGACACGGAGCAGCAGACACTGCCGGTGTCCCGGACTCCCTGAGGCCCAGCATCATCAGGACGAGGCGCCCGGCCCTGACATTCCGAACCCGGCACCCCTCTGAAGCCCAGAGCGCCTCACTTAGCGCCCATTGCGGGGATGACGCCACTCAGTGCTGAGCTTCTATTGGTTATTATTTCTGTCCGTCACTATGAGTTCCGCCTCTCCGCCCATCTTCGGCCGTAGGATTGGCCGCACTGCACGCGGAACGTGAGGCTCCCCTGGGCGCCGCCATGTTTGGGGCCGCTGCCCGGCGGCGGGGCGGAGCGGCGCGGCGCTGGGCTAGCGCGCATGCGCGGCCCGGGCAGGGGCGCCGCCCCGGGAGCGCGCGGCCGCCTCGGGAGCGCGCCCGGCCCGAGGATGCGCCAGGCGGGACAACCCCGGTGGCCCGGCCGGGCACAGGTGAGGGCGGCTCGGACCCCTCGAGCCCCCCCGGGCTCCTCCGCTCTCCCGGGGCCGCTGGGCGGCGAGGGGATCGCGGTCCTACCGGAGGGCGCGGGGCCGGGAGAGGCTGGGAAGGGGCCGGGGGTACCAACTCCGTGTGGGCCGGCGGGGTGAGGTGGGGCCTGTCCCGTCCAGACCCCTGAAGGGGGAAGATCTGGTGAGGTGAGGTGAGGCGAGGTGAGGTGAGGCGAGGTGAGCCGAGGCGAGGTGAGCCCTGCCCTGTTCCAGAGGTGAGGTGAGCTCTGTCCCGTCCAGCCCTGTGAGGAACCTGCACACGAAGAGCCGCAGCCCAAGCCCCGCAGCCCCGGGCAGCGCAGAGCATCGTGGACCATGCCAGAGGCATCCCCGGGGCTGCCATGAGCTTTGCATGAAGGCCGGTTTGGTTTCCAGGATTTTCCAGGTGCTGCTGTCTCCGGCACGGTTCTCATTGGCACCTTCGACCTCGGGCGGCACCTGTGGGAAGTGTTGTGCCTGGAACGGGGCCTTCGCTGCAGTACATCCACACCAGGAAGGACACAGAGCTGTGCTGGGCTTGTCTCGAGGTGTGGTGGGAGTGTGGACTTGTGGGTTATCCCACAACCCGCTGGCACTGAATCAAAAGCACGTTTCGTAAAAAAAGCACGTCACTTTTGACATCAACACGTGAACCATGCCATACAGAGCCTCAAGTATATTTGTGCCAAAGGGCAGAAGTGCTTGCTGGTGTGCTCCTCCACCATGTGCCTCATCTTTCTTGGAACCCAAATGGAACTTTTTAGGATAAGTCAGAGATGTGAAAAGCATTCTCTTTACACAGAGCCAGTGCTACCCTGGCCAGCACCTTTCTGAACATGGGTTGTTATTCTTTCACCACCTTTGGCCATCTGTAATGGTCCACAACAGTTTCTGGGCCCTGTGATCCTTTACTGTACTATTTTGTTTTTGAGACTTCTGCATTTGGAGCTCCCAGACTGCTTCAACATGGGATTGAATGGGATCCTGTAGGAACCATCAGGTTTTTCATTGCATGGGATCACAAACCTCTTGTTGCTATGCATACCAAAAGAGTCAAAAGCTCCTTTCTATGACCAGGATGTGACTTCAGAATCACCGTGAAATTCAGCAAAAATGAAGGTGCTTTGTGGCCACCAAAAAAAGGAATGGCAGAGCTCTCAAGTGCTTCTCTTGGAAAATTTAAGTCAGAATGATGTTGCAGGATTGATTATTTCATTTCTGTTAAAAAGAGACTGATTTTTTATCTCCTGACATGCAAGATATCTGTTGCAGTCTGGTTTCAGTTGCCCATAAAAGTTAATTTTGGGTTTTCCAGGGGTGGGTTCTCACTAAAGATTTTAGTTTTTGTAAATAATTTGCTGAGGTTTGTTTGAAGGTTTGAGGCTTGGTGAGTTCTAAAGTAAATATGTAGAAATTGTACCTGATAATAAGCTGATGCTAGTACCATTTTCAGGCACTTCTTTCTCAGAGCTGTTCCCATGATCTGCCAAAATCAGTTTTCTCTAGTTTTCTGTTCAGTGCTAGATGTGATTTCTGTGCATTCAGTGAGCCTCAGTGGATAGACAAGAGTCTTTTCACTCCCTGTAAATGACAAATGTCTGCACTGTCTTGTGGCAAGGGCACTTCACAGCTTAAAAAAGTTTGCTGCAAGGAACCATCTCCTTCAGATTGTTTTGATCCTGCCTTCTCTGAGCTCCATTTGATGTGCTCTTACATGGTGAAGAACAGAGAAAATTTTGGTTTTCTCCAGCCTAAGTTCACTCTTGACTTTATTACCTGTGATGTCTCTTCCAAACTGAGGAATCTTTCTTTGCTTAGGTCTTCCTTTTCAGAAGATCTTGGTGCTTTTGATCACCTCTGCAGCACTTCCAGTTCTGCTCCCCCCCTGCTTAGAGGAAAAGCACCAGATGTGCACATAGAGCTCCAGATGATGGTGCTCTGGGGACTTCTGTGGCAGCACAGAAGCCGTGCTGTTCTTCTGAGATCTCTGCTCCTTCTTCCTACACTGTTAATTCCAGCTGCCTCTCCTCAGCAGTGGCCTTTTTCTGAGGGTTTAGGCTGTTTGCTCAGGGTGGCCTGGGCTGGAATCCCTCTCCTGCCAGCACTGGAGTGTCTGCAGTGTGTGTGTGAAGACTGCAGTACCCACATGTAGCCCTTGTTAAAAGCTCCCATTACAGGTCTTTCAGCATCTGCTCGGTTCTGCTCATGTTCCATGTGCTCTGTGATTTGCCCTGTGATAGTCTTTTTGCTGTCCTTCAGCAGCCACATCCATCCTGCTGTGCCTGCCCTGCCAAACCAGGACTTTCCAGTTGGTAAAAGTCTGGTGGGGGAAGAGGAGGCTGCAGGTGGCTGTCAGGGAAGGGAAGAGGAGCTTGTCCTCTGCTCAGAGCCACTCTGCAGAGCCTGGTGGCTGCAGTGTTGGGGGTCTCCAGCCCTGTGGGGCCCTTTGACAGTGCGAGCTGTGTCTCCATACCCAGAGAGCTGGGGCTGCCCTGCTGGAAGTCATTCGTGAGGCTGGGTTGGCTTCTTCTTGCTTTCTGGTGGTACTAGTTCTTCTTTCTGGTGACCCAAAGTCCTTGTAGCATCAGGATCTGGTGCATGGTAGCTAATCACTAGATTTTGTAGGTTTGTGCCAATAGCTCCTAGTGATACCCGTGTAGAGGCATACTGTGTTTTAGGATAAATGAATTTAAGATAATTCCACCTGGCCGAGATTATTTTTAAGAGGCAATTAGATGGAAGACAGGAAAGAGTAACAAACTGAGCGAGTTTTGCAGAGATCAGCTTATCAGAAATGAGCTTACCAGGAGTTTCCTGTTGCACATACTGTGGTGTTCTAGAGCATTTTCAGCGAATTCAGCCTTTTCTAAACCATTGTGGTTTTGTGTAAGTTAGACACCTCTGTGTGATCTGGTGCAAGCAGGCACACACACTCACCTGGTCTCTGTTCCACCTCACTTTGTGTCCCTTCAAATGAAGATTATATTCTTTCTGCTGTGAGAATTTTTAATTCTTCCAGACCATAAACTGCTAAACAGATTTGTGGAGACTTCAATAGTTATGCCTGCTGTCCATCCAGTTGCAAGGAGTATTTTTTTTGTTTTTCTGATTTATATAAAGCAAGCCTGGGTAGAAGCCATCCTCCTTGCCAGTATCCCAGGATCCCACCCTTTTATGTAGACTAGTAAATATTTTCAAGATCCTTTTGATCTTTGTCACTGCCTTATTTGAGTGTCCTGCTAAATGTTGGATAAAAAGGAATTTATGCCAATGAACTTTGTTCATCCTTACAAAGAATGACAGTGACAGTATCACTGGAAATGCTACATCACAGAGAATAAGGAAAAACATACTGAATTAAGTAAATATTTCATAAGCTATTTTATAGCATCTGTAAACATTTGTGCATTTTGCAAGATAAATACTCTCAAGCATTTCTGTTTTCTAGTTTAATGTCTGTACTATAAAAGTACCTAAGAATTCAGTCAGGGTTCAGTTTTATAACACATGCTGGGCAGTGTAGGCACCCCCAGACTAATGAGATGCTGATTGCAAACAAAGCACTTGCACTGGGAGTAGTTTCATTCTGTGCTGGTACTGCCCACTGCTGTGTCAGGGTTTGCTTTCATGTCTTATAACTTAATGTGAGTGTCTTGGGATGGGGAGATGAGTAACACTGTTGCTGAAACAGGCCAAGATTCTTGCTGCTTATAGGTGTCTTTTCAAAGGTGTTGATCTGGTGCTGGTATCAGTTCTCTTTTTAGATATGGTCTTTGCTTTTTTATTATGAGCTTCTAACAAAAACTGAATTAGTCATGTTTTTCCCTCAAAAAAAAATTCAAAAAAGGTCAAGTGGGTGTAGTAAATGAGAATTCAGAAAGGCACGGAACAAAAGCTGGATTGTAGGTTTCTGTGGTGTCAGAGATGGAGGACATTTCTGACATCTCTCCTTGAAGCTGGTGCTAAAGCAAGTGCTAAAGGCAGTTTGGCCAGTTGTGGACAGCAGCTGTGCTAAGACAGGCAGGTAGGGATCAAAGGAATTGATTTACCAGGAAATATTTGGAAGAACAAAAGGAGTGTGTGACTTGACCAAATGTTTGTGTGTAGGGAATATAATAATTCTGTGCAAACCCTGCATCCCTGGAGATTAAGTGGCATTAGCAGAAGGAGATATTTTTAACTGTCCTAAGCTTTTAACTACCCACAGTGGACACAGAGGAATTCCCTTTTCCTTTCAAAAAGCAGATTTCTGTGTATTTCAACACTGGTATTCTCTCTCCTTGTAGGCTTCTCCTCCCCAGGCAAAACAAGCTCACTGAATCCAGGCTTTCCCCACAGGACATATTTTCTGTATCTTCTCTAGACTGACTTATCTATTTGCCATAAAATTGTTAAGATCCAAGTAGTTGTTTTCAGTTTGTGTATTTAATTTGGAAGAAAGATTTATGTGTCCCAAAGCATGTTTATTATTTCCAGCTATTTCAATTGGTCTAATAAAAGATATTACCTCATCTCACAAACCTTTATCTCATTTAGGGACTTACATCATCACAAATGGAGCAGCACTGCTTTTACTGTCAGTGTGACAGACTCTGTGTCCTGTTCTCTTGCTGCTTCCTGTCACTCCCAGTTTGTGCCTCTCTGTGTCTGGTTTATCCTGCATTCTTGTGTGTGTTTCTCTGCCCATGTGCTGAGTTTTGAAGCTGAGGAAGTGACTCTGTCAAGCTGCTTTCTTACCATTCTTCTGCAATAGGTCAGTCAGACTTGTCCCTTAATACTGCATCTTTATAGATTGCACCTTCTGAGAGTTTTGGTTTTTGTCATAAGGATGTTTGAGAATGTTGAAAGCCATACAAGGGACAGAAGGTGGCATTCAGGATAGGTGTGTTTGATATCACAATGTGCCTTTTCCTGATAATGCCTTTTACCTTTTCACATTTTAGGAACTGTGGATGGAACACCAAGCTGAGGAGCCAGACGTTTTATTGAAGGCTTATGTGTAGACCCTGATGCTTGAATGAAGAATGAAAATGCTCCCTGGAGTGGGTGTGTTTGGAACTGGTAGTGCTGCCCGGGTCCTGGTACCCTTGCTGAGGGCAGAAGGCTTCTCCATTGAAGCTCTTTGGGGGAAAACTGAAGAGGAGGCCAAGCAGCTGGCAGAGGAAATGAACATCTCCTTCTACACGAGTAGGACTGATGATGTCTTGCTGCATCAGGACGTAGATTTGGTTTGCATCAACATCCCTCCACCGCTAACTCGGCAAATTGCTGTGAAGGCTCTAGGTACCTTTTTATCCTTGCAGTTGGACCAAAAATCCGTAGGCTGTTGGCAGATTGAAATTTGGAGCTGCTACCCAGCACAATTCTGGTTGCACCAATGGGCAAATGAAGTGCTGAAAGTTTTGTGTGGCATTTGTGAGAAAGGTTACCTGGGGTTATAATTGCTTATAGCTCTGCTTGAAGCAACTGGGCTAAAATATCTTGTTCAGTTCAGACTGAAGTTATGGTAGGGAGTTTGTAATAAAAATCAGCTATATTAGAGATAGTAATGAGAGTGTAAATGGCTTTATGCCCATTAAAAAAAAACCCAGAGCAACAGAAAATAAAAACCAAAACCAAAACAACTTAAATTGTTCAATTCATTTTAGATTTTCCTATACTAGGAAACTGAGATTTGTCTGGAAGGGGAGGGTTGTTCAGCTCTTTGTTTTCACCACAAGTAAAATCAAGCTTGGAAGTTGAAAGCCTTTGAAAAAATATTTGTATGCACTCAGTAGAATCTTGTGAATTCGAAATGCTGTTTTAGCTGTGACCCTGGCCACTACCTGGACCATCTTGGCAAATCCATGTCCGTAGCAGGCTGATGTGGTCCCAGGTGGAGGAATCCTTCTACCTGACTCAGGAGGGCAGATGTTGGGGACAGCAGGAGGAATCCAACTAGATGAGAAAGAAGGGATGACACCCCAGACTGGTTGGGCAGGGAGATGGGAGCCAACTGCCCAGGCATCCTGACATTTCTTAATTCCCCAGTGTGTGACTTTGTAGTGTTAATGTCCTCTCCTCTAGTGCAGTGTGGGTGTCAGTTTGCGTGTAATTCTGTAAATAACAAGGGTGATATTTTTACTGTGTTTACAGGAGATACATGAGTTAATTTTAGGACAGGTAATCTCAGACCATGTGAGCCAGGGTGGTTTGTTGTGCCTCTTTTCTCTACAGTAATTTCTTTTGGAAGTAAACAAGTCCCTGCACAAACATTTGTAATGCCACTTAGATATGCAGAGAGAGATTTCAGGATTTTTTTTCCTTTTCTTTTTTACATTGTTAGATTTGTTTGTTTACCTTGTTAGAGTACTGTCCTTTGAATTTTAAGGTATTCTGATTTTTAAATATTTGAGCTGTAAGCTAGAAATTATCTCTTCAACTATGCTAAAAGCTCTTTAAAGCACTTGTTAGGTAATATGCATTTCACTAGGTGTTGTGGCTCTTGATGATCAAGTGGGCTAAAAAGGAGAGGATTGAACTTTCTTTGCTGATTTATTAACTAAAAGGCATCAGGATTCCTTCATTGAACTCTGGGAACCCATAAGATGGCATTATCCAGAGGAGGAAAGGGAGGCAAAGCTGGTGCAGAAACGCAGAGTTTGTACATATGCTTGAATGGAAGCTGAGGAGGTGGAAGGCTGAAAGAGCCAGGGAGATGGATGTAGCAGGAGAGGGTAACAATCACTTCCCCTGTCCTGAGATGTTCTGATCTGCAAACTGATGCAGACATCCCAGACCCAGTGTGATGCTGATCTTGCCTTTCAGCTTTCCAGGTTCATTGCAGTGGTGTTTGCAGGTCTGCTGCCCAGTATAGCGTGACTTATTTAAAGCCAGTGTTGGGTGGTTTCCTGTGCCTGAATGTTCTGAAGGAACACAGAACCAGGACAGGGCCAAAGATGGGAACATTTTCTTTGGAAGTTAAGATAGATGCAGTGATGGTTATAATCAGAGAATTATTGGCTGTGAATTGTTTATAACAGATTGGTGTTTTGTTGCCAAGAGACTGGGCTCTAGGAAATGTCAGAAGTGGTGCAATAATAATGGTCTTGTCTGTTGTGTTTTGTTGGGCTTGGTTTGTTTGTTTTAAAGTGGTGACACTTTAATCACTTATTTTTGTACATTTTTCTACTTCTTTTAAAAATTACGCTTCCACTTTTGTTCCTGGTGAAGAGGAGAAAAACCCCCAGTTTTTCTAGGTGGTGCAGTTTCCTTGCCTAAGTTTCTTGCTGACAGGCATCCATGAACAAGCCTGGGGACAAAGCAGTGACACTGGTTTGAGTTCATGAACCAGACACAACAGATCAAAGCCCAGGAGATAGTTCATATTAAAATCAGTATAATCTTACGGTTTATCTCCACAACAGGCAAAGCAAGAAGCTGTCTTTAAATCTGTGCTTCTTTTGATCTCGGAGGAACTAAATAAGTTTCACCAAATATCTGTGTTGTGGTTCATGTCCCACAGTTAAATGCACCCATCCACGCTCTCATGTCTCCTGGCTGATGATGGCCTCAACTGAAAATTTTGCAGCTGTGGTTTAGGAAAACAATATGGTACAAAGTTCAGGTTATTCATTACCAAAACAATAGTAACAATCCCAGGGATGTAAGCTACACTGCCTTGAAAAACAAAAAGCATTAAGTTGGTAAGGGACCTTGTAGCCATCTCTGACTTGGCCCTTGTCCTTGCTTCATGGCCATCTCTGTGAGCTTGGGGACAGCTGGAGGGATGTTCCACTGAAGGCAACAGCAGGATTATCCCAGAGCTGTTATGTGTTCCCAGGTCTCCGTCCTGGCACTCGGCAGTGCACGGTGGGCTGTGCCAAGCTGTCAGTGTGCTGCACTGGCTGCCATCCCAAAAAAAGGCATCAGCCAGTTTTAGCTCCTCAAGTGGCTCAGCCTGGGCTGCCACAAGAGGCAGAGCACTGGGTGAGGGTGAGGCTGGTCAGCAGAGCAAGGACAGCCCGGTGTGAGGAGCTGCCCAGCGTGACAGGGCTGTGCCCAGGCTTGGCTGTCTCTGCTCTCAGTGCCCTCTGCAGGGACCCAGGGCTGGGCAGGCAGGGCAGCAGCACCGCAGAGCACTGGCTGCAGAGCTGTACCCAGGCTGTACATGGAGCCAGGGTCACTTGGGTTTTCTGTGAGATTTGAGGATGTGGATCTGCTCGGGATGCTGTGAGCATCCTTTTGCTTTCTCCTGTGGTGCTTTGCTGTAACCCACCTGGAGACAAGTGCCATTTAAACAAGGCAGATAAACTGGACTGAAGCAGCTTCAGAGGCTTGTCCAGGTGCTTCAGCTAGCCCTGAAAAATACTGAAGTGAGTGTTGTGCCTTGCCTTGGCAGCAGGACTGGGGACGGGGAGTCAGAAATGGTCTCGGAAATGGGGGGTTACCAGTGCACAGCCAGGGTGTCCACTGGGAGTTTGACCTGACCCTTTGTTCATTAAAGCTGCTGTAGACTCATATCAGTATAGGGGATTTCTCACTTGTAGTCTTCTCATTTTCTGACAGGATTTCACTTGTGTCTATTAGAAGCAGAGGTTCTGAGTCTCCTGTGGCTGTCCCCTGGCTGAGCTGTGTCACAGGAGCGCGCTGGCCCCTGGCTCGCTCGGAGGGTTTCTGCAGGGCTGGCTGGGTGCAGCCGGGAGGGGGAGCATGGGGAGCGGCACCCGCAGAGGGATCCGCCTTCCCCTCCCGTGCCACAGACCGACTGAGGTGCCTGTGCTGGTACCTTCTCACTGGAAGTCAGTTAAAAGCTGTTCTGAGCAGGAAGCACAGTCTGCTCCTGGCTAAAGAGGAGCTTTCAGAGAGGTGCCCACCATCGTGTGCAGTGATTCATGCAATCCTTGGGCAGAAACTGCAGTGTGCCATGACTGACCTTCAGGTCTGGCATCCCCAGTTAGTGTCTGTAATAACCGTGTTAGGAATAATATGGTTATTACACTGAAAAATGTTTAGATAAGTATTTGATCAGAACAGATGTAAAACAGCAAAAAACAGTAAAAGTAAAGCCCTGCCATGAGAAGGGAAACACCAGTAAAGCTCCAAATATAAGAATTAAGACTTGTACTGTCATGCTCTTTTGTTTTACTTCATTTTTTGCTTTAAAGTTAGGGGAAGAAAGAGGATTATTGGCTTCCCCCATTGACTTATGCTGAGCATGATGTAAAGTGCATCAGCAGCAATAACAGTGCAGTGGGTCAGCTTGGGGGTGCAGCTCTTGTCTGTGTAACTCAATCACCTTTTGTCCGATTGTACAGGCTGTATGTGCAGACCAAAATGATTTGCTTTCTAATTAGAGAGGGTTGTTTTAAAACAGTCCACTTACCAAAGCATTATTTCTAATTCTTGTGTTCTGTACACAGAACCTGTATGTATGTCTTTTATATATAAGTAAATTATATGTCCCATTTATATTAATTAATTAAAAAAATAAAATTGTATAGTAATGGTGAAACACAAAGTGAAAATCAAATCTCCCCTTCCTCCACCTCTTCCCTGCAGGGTACATGGCTTTTTTTTTCTCCTCTGATTATACAGGTATTCAAATAATTTCTTTACTACAGCACTCATATTGTGTCTTGTTTTGATGCCATTTGGACATTTATCTTTCATGATGTAAAAATCCTCTCTTTATTTGGAGCTTCCCTCTGGGAGAGTTTTTCAGCTCTGCAACCGGAGCATCTAGGAAACACTATTGAGTCTTGCTGCACTTGGCATTCCTACTTCAATTCCCAGACCTTTACCTTAGAAATTGCAGCAGGAAAGCCCAACTCTTAAAAACACCACTTCTCAATAACCTTTGGGGCATCTGAGCATGTTTAGCTCACGTGTGCTAAATATTGTATTTTTTTTTCATTTGTGCTGCAGGAATAGGGAAGAATGTGCTTTGTGAGAAAGCTGCTACCTCTGTGGATGCCTTCAGGATGGTCACAGCTGCCAGGTATTACCCCAAGCTGATGAGCATCGTTGGCAACGTTCTGCGTTTCCTGCCCGCCTTTGTGAAGATGAAGCAGTTGATAGAGGAGCACTACGTGGGCAACGTCATCATCTGCGACGTGCGAGTCTACGGGGGGAGCCTGCTCAGCCACAAGTACAACTGGATCTGTGACGAGCTCATGGGAGGGGGTGGGCTGCACACCATGGGCACCTACATCATCGACCTCCTGACTCACCTCACCAGCAGGAGAGCAGAGAAGGTCCACGGTTTGCTCAAGACTTTTGTGAAGCAGAACACGGCCATCAGCGGGATCCGCCACGTCACCAGCGATGACTTCTGCGTTTTCCAGATGCTGATGAGCGACGGCGTCTGTTGCACTGTGACTCTCAACTTCAACATGCCCGGGTCGTTCATCCATGAGGTCATGATCGTGGGGTCTGCCGGGCGCCTCGTAGCTCGTGGGACAGACTTGTACGGGCAGAAGAACACTGCGCTCCAGGAAGAACTACTGTTTACAGACTCTCTGCCTGTCAACAAGGGCCTTTTGGATAAGGGCTTTAAGGACATCCCGCTGCTTTACCTGAAAGGAATGGTGTACATGGTGCAAGCCCTGCGGCAGTCTTTCCAAGACCAGGAAGACCGTCGGACGTGGGATCATAAACCTGTGTCTATGGCAGCCTCTTTTGAAGATGGTCTCTACATGCAGAGTGTGGTAGAAGCCATCAAGAAATCGAGTAGGTCAGGTGAGTGGGAGACTGTGGAGGTGATGACTGAGGAACCAGATGCCAACCAAAACCTCTGTGAGGCACTTCAAAGAAATAACTTATGAACATTCCTACCTTGGAAAATAGGACAATTAACACTTCTGGCTGTAATGTAAAAAAAATACCTGTTTTTAAGATATGTAGATTCTTATTTAATAGCCTGAGTTTCTTGGTTTTTTTAAACATGTAAAATATGTTCTTATAGGAACGGTTCTGGTTTAAATTGTTTAAAGAGTTTTAAATGTTTCTATTTTTTGCAAACATTTAATTTTTTTCTTGGAGACTGGTAGGAAAACTTGAATTGCCCTTTGCACTTGCAGTAGCTGAAGTGAATTGTGGGATCTCTGCCATTGCATGGCTTGGAAATGGGACACAACCCCTGTTGCACAGGTTGCTGATTTAACCATGAGAGCACGTAGAGCAAGATCAGGGAGTATCTGTTGTTCAGATGCCTTTTTCTTCTCTCTTGGAGACTGATGTATGTTTTAATCCTCAGTTTGTAAAATTTTAGAAAAGAGTTTAGTGATGTAACCGGTCTCTAAACTCCTACGGGACAAAAAGAAGGAATGGATTGAAGTTACTAACATAAGGATCAGCCTTTTGGCTTCCTGTATGTGGTAAATGTCTTTCAAATTCATTCAAACTGATGTTTTATTTAAATTATACTATAATTCTCTGTTGATGGTGTCTTGGCAGGAAAATCTCCAGGAAGTCTGTGATGCATTGAGCTGTTCTTCCATATCTGTGGATATTATTCCTTCTACTCAAGAGGCTGCCTGCATCCAGCAGCTGTTTTTCCATAAGCTCTGTGCTTATGTCAGTTGTGTTTACTGCCTGGCAGCACCGATGCTGTGCCTGTGGGGCCACGTTCTCATTTCTGTGACTGTTAATAAATAAATGCCTCCCAGGGTCACAGGATTGCCACAGTGTTGTGGGTAACAAAGTTGTGCAGCATGAACCTTTCAGGGACCTGAAAGTGGAAGGAAGGAGGTATTTCCTACCTCTTGCAGCTCTCTTAATGTGCTGGCTGCGTAACTGTCACACTACACACATCCTGATAGCTGAGAGAACAGGGACTGAACTGCCGTGGGTAAATGTGTTCTTGATCTCAGACACTGGCTGTTAATCCTCTGTCCAGCCCATCTTCACACTCCTGCAGCTGGTGTCCAGTGGAGAGATTTGTTGGCAGATGATGGAGTGGGAGTTCATTCCTTTTGAGAAATGTTTCTCTCTGAGGCAGGTATGTGGAAAGGATAGTCTAATTTTACTACATTTGTTTTGTGTACTTGAAAGCTTTTTTTTTTTTTTAAATGTATTTCCCACTAAATTGTAACCCTGTGTATTTATGTATATTAACATGCACGCTGCTGTTTCATAAGCTGGACCTTCCTGAAAAGTATCATGTTTTCTACAGAAATAAAAAAATTGTGTTTGTTGAGGAAATTCTCTATGCAGCTGTGTGCTTGTATTTGATTTGGTCAATCTAAAACCATCCTAATAAAAGTGAGCAGGAACCTCAGAGCTGGGACTCAGCATCTAGTGAGTCCTTCCTTACTTATTGTAGAGGTTGCCAGAAGACACCAAGTAAGAAGCAAATCCCTGCATGGGACGATGGGACCACTTTCTTTGCTTGGTGTGTAAATTAGGTATTTAGCTTTGGATATTTACTTTCCAGACTGACAGAAACAAGTCTATTGCTGTACTGTTTTAAAGGGTTTTTTTAAATGGCTGCTCTTGTGTTCTGTGCAATCTCATCTCTACTGTAAGCTGTGTGAAGGAAGTGCAGGGTTAGAGTGGATATTAGGAAAGGGTTCTTCTCCCAAAGCGATTGGGGACTGGAATAGTCTCCCCAGGGAAGTGGTCACAGCCCCAAGCTTGCCAGAGTTCAAGGAGAATTTGGGCAATGGGAGGCACAGGGTGGGATTCTTGGGGTTCTCCGGTGCAGGGTCAGGATTATATACTCAATGATCCTGCCTCGGATGTGAGCATCTAATGTCTGTGGAATCTGTATGCTGTATAAAATAGATAATGTGTCCTGAGCTCACCTGGCAGTCTCATTCCTTCATTCAGATAGAAGACCCCTGACTGTTTTCATGCCAGTTTGGGTTCTGTTTTGAAGCTGTCCTTCTGGAACTGAGAACCTTCCTTTGTGCTTTTGTCACGAGTTTGTACTGGGCAGAAAAAAAATCTAAAGTCCAGCTCCTTCTCTAGGAGAAGAAGAAAGCACAAAACATCTCCAGATGATCCCAGTGAAGCAAGGAGGGTGCCGAGACTCCCGGGTGAGAAAGAGACATGACCGGAGAGTTGTGTGGAAGGGGTCTCTGGTGGGCTGGCTACAGCCCGGAGCTGTCTGCACGGGCAGAGCGGGATGGTGACCGCAGGAGCGCCCCTTTGGGCGAGGCGGATTCCAGCCGTGAAGCCTGGATTCCCCCGTGCGATCGCTGCGTGTTTCGTGCAGATGTTGTGCATTAGGGCCCGGGGCCGGCCGGGGGATCAGCGTCCCCCGTGTGCTGCGGCTGGCCGGGCACAGGCGGCGGGGCCTCGGGAGCGGCGCCGGGGGCGCTCGGGGCCGGGCCCGCCCATCCCGGCGGAAGCGCTGGTTGCCGGGGAGCGGCGGGGCCGGGCCGGGGCCTCGGCTGCCGGCGGGCGGGCCCAGCCCAGCCCGGCCCGGCCGGGAGCGCTTCTCCGCGGCCTCCCTCGGTGAGTCCTCTCGGGGCTCGGGAGCGGTGCAGGCCGGGGACGACGGGGAGGCGGGCCGGGAAGCGCCGGGCCCGGGGCAGCGCCCGCGGGGAAGGCTGCGGGCCCCGGCACCCCGGCGAGCCCCGGGCGAAGGGAGCCAGGCAGGGCCCGCAGGGGTGTCCCGTCCCCCGGCGGTGTCCCCAGCGCGGTGCCGGCTCTCGGCACGGGGCTCGTCCTTGCAGCCGAGAGGAATCCCACGCGTTGAGGTGGGGCCTCCGTCGTCATCTATCCTTGCCCTCCGGAGTGAGGATTGGGCTGCAGCTCTGTAATAGCCGCATCAGCCTCTGCCCACCTTCCAGTGCTGAGCGCGGCCCTCGTTCAGCTCCTGCCCCAGCTGCTGCAGGAAATCCGTCTGACTCCCTGGGAAGACTGTCCAAGCTGGCTTTATTCCTAAAGAGCTGTTGGTAGACACCAGCTTGCAGAAATACAAATGCCGCTATCACACCTGGCTGTACCTGTCCCTCTGTTTTCAGAGAGACAAAAGGAAAAATGGGTCTTTGAGACTGGCAGATGGGGAAGAGCTGATGAGACCTGGGGAAACCTGTGTGGAGAATAGCGTTAAAAAGGAGAATGTTAATTTCTCCCATAGTAGTCAGCAAGGAGAAGGCTTAGGCAGGGACAAAAACCACTGGGTAAGTTCACAGCACATTGACCTCTGGTCTTGACTTCCAGTTCTTCAGGAGAAATAGTCACAGATCCATTGGTGGTGTTTTGGTGCAGCCCTCAGGCATGGAAGTTATCCTGATGTGACTTTCCATTTCAGCTAACACTGTTGAGGAAGGAATCAAACATGCAAGACCAGCTGCACAGAGATTAGCCCTTTGATTTGCTGCAGATGACTTGCTCTGCTTATCACAGCTTATCACAACCGTGGGATGTTTTTCCCATGCTTTTTGCAGAGATTGGCTCATGAAGGCAAGAAGCTGGGCTGGCATCAGCTCTGTGTGTGGTAGCAGCTTCCTGGCCAGGGACCCAGGCACAGTGAAAATGTCATCTGTGAAGGAGAGGGAATGCTTCAAAGTCAGATGCCGAGGGTTCAAGGCTGTGAAATGCACCTGCCTGAGGCTTGTCTGTTCCCATGGTTTGCAGTTACCTTAACTATGATGCCAAAAACAAGCCACAAAAGGAAGCTGTGGTTCTTACAGGCTCTGAAAGGGCTCTGTTTACCAGGGGGATAAGTAGCATTTTTACCACTTGGTCAGCTGCAGCAAAGGGCATAGAGTCGAGTTAATGGTTATTAAACTTGCAGACACTGGGAGAGAGAGAGAACTGAAGCCTGCATTGCTTGGTTCCTGGGCCAGCATAAAGCCATGTTCCTGGTGGGGAAGGGAGCAGCACACTGGGCTGAATGAGCAGTGTTGAAGTTGTTGGGTTACTCCAGCAACTGCTCTGTGTCCCCTGTAGCTGTGTAGGGTGGCTGGGAGCTGTGACTCTTCCCTAGGGAGCCCGCAGGCTGGTTGGGGGGAGAGAGGAGTGGCACACTGGTATCTGTTTCCCTGGATTTATTCAGCTTGGTTCTGCAGAGTGTGCCTGCATCTCACAGCCTGTGAATAATGGTGTGTGTCTGGTGGCAGCAGGTACTGAGTTGTTGATGTTTAGGTTTCTGATGTGGCGGCAAAGGAGATGCTTTCCTGGGTGCAGGCAGGGATCAGGTCACTGCCCAAGAGGGCTGACCCTGTTCTCTCATCCCTCTCCTCTGTGTTCATAAGTATGTGTTCTTGCTGTGTTTCCCTGGTGCTTGCTCCAGTGCTTCTCTGATCCCTCTGTGGATGTAAAAGTCATGTTCCTTTTGGACAAAAGGTTACACGGACAGCAAACAAGCCCAGTGAAAGAAGTGACTTGTTTGATGCAGGGGCAGTGAGTGCAGCTGGCTCAGCAGAGGACTGTTGGTGCTGCAAAGCTGTCCCGAGAAGTGAAGCAGGGGGGAATGACAGCAGAGGTCATACAGTCCCTCTTGGCAGGAGTGAGCCATGAGGCTCTTCCACTCGTGTCCCCCAAATAGGCCCATGGTCAGCAGGAGCAGAGCAGCAGCAGCTCGGGAAGTCTGTGCCAGTGGTTGGTAACTGAGGCTTGGCAGCTGCTTCCCAGGGCTGGGACCCTGCTGCTGGGGGCTTGTGTCCCTCCTAGGTCCCTGCATAGGCAAGATGCTCCCTATTGTAATGAGGTTGTCTGATCTTGCAAGATCCCAAGCCAGAGGTGGTGTGACTTGTAAATCAGGGAGTGGGTGTCATTTGCAAATTCCCTGCAGCAGGGCAGGGTGCAGTTGGGATGTGAAGGTATAAAACGAGCTTTCCATCCCCCACCTCCCATCAACTTGCCTTTCCTCCTTCAGTCCCCCGCAATAATTGTCTGCTCTCTTACAGGTCTTGATTTCAGCCTGTCATTTTGCGTGTAAATCACTGGGTTGGGACTCGAGTTCAGATCAAGATCAGATGTGCATTTCAAAGCCAGTAGCTGTTCTGGAGTGATCTCATGGTGAATGTTCGCTTTTTTTTTTTTTCCCCTCTAGAATAGGAGAGGCTGTTCTGGCTTAGTTGGATCCATTATTGAGGAGATTAAATAATACCAAGCCAGCATCCTTTTATCTCTGGCTAAGAGTCTGTCCCTGCTTCTCAGAAACAGCTTTTCCAGAGCAGCTGGGTACAGGATGCACATGCACACTGGTGTGCAGCAGTGAACACTGCTTGCATTGCCTCTGCTGTTGTGTCCAGGAGATGGATAACAGCATTTTGCTAATGGGTCTCATGTCAACAGGGGTGATTTAGCAAGGAAGACTGCAGTGCATTAGTTGCTATGACTCAGACTCACTCAGCCTTGCACTGATCATTTATTGGTTTATAAATTAAACTGCAGATGCTGCGTCCTGACAGTGCTGGTATGCCAAGGATCCTGAAAGGGGTTCTTCCCATTGAGTTGTCTCAGAAATGTTTAAATTACTGCCTCAGGAGTCAGGGAGTACAGGTTGTAGCCCCAGCTCTTACAGCAGTGACTCCAGCCAAGCTACCCTGGCGCCTGTCAAAATTGTGGTGTGACTCTGATGAGGCACTTGTGGTATCTGCTGAGAGCTCAGCAGCAGTCTGTGCCTGCTGGTGTGGCATCCTGCATGCTCATGTTCTGAGTGGGTTTATTGTAGGTATAAAACTGCTGTCCAGGAGGTCTTGGTGAACAGTGCAGGGAAATTGGTGCTGGCTGCTCCTGTCCCTTCCTGGTGGAAGGGTCTGTGCTTCTGTTATGGAGAGAAGAGAAGCAACAGGGACCTGTGTGGACCAGGGCAGGGACTTGTGGATCTGTGCTGCTTTGAAAAGTAACTCTGTTCTCCCCAAGACCTGAGAAACCATCTGGGCTCTTCCCCAGAAATCCAGTCTCTGCCCCACATGGTCCTGGAGTGAAGTGCTTGGTCTTTTTGTAAAGTGTTTGTCTTTCTGGGGGTCAGCCCCAGCCTGCTGAGGGATGGTGACAGCACAGGTGTGTTCTCAGGGAGGATATGGCCATGGAGGGCAGGAGCTTCAGCTTCCTCTGGACTAATTGTGTTTGAACCACAGGAGCCATTTAGAGGAAGCCCAGGGTACAGGATAATTCAAATCTCAAGCTAAAACCTGTCAGATGATGGCCAGCTACTTCATGTTTCCTGTTCACTCCTGTGTCTGCATTAGATGCTTCCATATGGGAGAACAAAGCCAGGAAGGATTTTTGTACCAAAGGAACCAATAAATATTACAGTAACTGTGGACATTTTCAGCACTGGTAAAAACACTGATTAGACCCAGAGCAGAGACAGTGCTGGTGGACCTCTTGTTTCACCTGCATGAAGTCCATTTTGGAGTTGTTGCTACCTGCAGGACATCTCTGGAGCTGGGGGTGAGGTGTCAAACAAAAGTCAGAAATTCCCCTATACATATGTGTGTATATATCTATATCTATGTATATCTATAATGTGACTTTTCAGTGGCTCAGTCAGTCCTGTTCATTTCTGTTCTCAGTGGTGGTTGGCTTCTGTGGCAGAGGCAGAGCAACGTGTGGCAGGATGTGTGAAGGGCCATCCAGGATTTCTGGACCCATTCCTCCAGACCCAACACTCTTTCCAGAGTATTACAAACGTCCCTTCTCAGGTGAGTCCTTGATGCTTGTTACAGGTTTTGGGGTTTGTGCTTTGGCATGGCACAGCTTGATGTCCTTATCCCTTGGTGTCCTTGACAGTCTCTATTCATATTGATGAAGGTGCTGCTGATGCTGATCCTAAAGTGGTACAGCTGGTTGAAAGATGGGAAAGCATAAGGCAGAGGTGAAGGGGGGGTCTTCACATTGTTTGTGAGCTGTGGGTGCAGAAAACTGAGGTAAGATCATTTCCTGACAAGGTTCTCCTTTTTCTTTCTCTGCAGCTCGAGGGAGGCTGGAAGGAAATGCTCAGAAGCTGTATTTAACCTCTGGCCCCCTGGACTCTGTTCCCAACCCCTACCCTGCTTTGGGCAGTGCCCACCAGGCCCAGCCAGCCCCTCGCATTCGCCCCAGTGGGAAGGACTTCCTGGAGAAGGGACAGAAAGGGACACTCAGCCTCTTACTGCAGCTTCAAGGGGTCTGTCTTGACGAGGGGATGCCAGTTAAGAGTAAGCACAGCCAAATCACTGCTGGCCTCAGCTGCCTTTGGGGCCAGGGATGAAGCACTGGGGATTTGGGGTGGATTCCCAGGATCTGCTGCCTGGGGAGAACTTGAGCTTCATAGGACTGGTCACCCCACCTGCAGCTTTTGGCCTGGCAGTGCAATCACCTGTGCTGGAGCCAGTGATGTTTTGGCTCCAGTCTCAGGTTTAGAATGGGAAGAGGGACTTGAAAAAAGGTGCAAAAATTTGGACTTCTTTATAGTCAAACTTCTGTATGAATCAAACAAAACCTTGATGTGTTGAGGAACACGGCAAGTTCCTTCCTTGGTGAAGCCAGGCAGGATCTTGGAAGAGTGTCTGTATGTGGATGTGAGAGCATCTCTGCAAAAGATGTTCCCTTCTCCAGGGCAGGGATGTCACCCAGAATACATTCAGAGGTCCAGGAAGGAGATAAGGTTGAGCCCTGTGTGTCATTTTAATGTACTTCATGTGCTGGCAGTGCCCTGGGTTGGTGCCAATGTGGTAGATGCCACAACTGCTGTGCCCAAGCAGGGAGGGAACAGATGAACATGAGGTTATGTCAGCTGAGATATTCCCTGTCTTGGAGAGCCCAAGGAAGGATAATTTTTGATTCCAAAACAAAACAATCCCTAATCCCTAATCTTGGTTGTGTCCACTTGAACATGGGACAGTGGCTGACCCTGAAACCAGGAATAGTGCAAGTTCAAGGCTCTGCAGCCCTCTGTGCTTCAGAAACACCATGTGAGCTGAACTGGGAATTGACCTTGCTCTTGAGAGGATGCTGGCATGGCTTGTCTGGCATAGTCCATACTGGGACAAGGGGAGAACAAGGGAGTCTGTGAACCAGCAGTGTGCACAGACCTGGTCTGGTGCTCATCTGGGCACGGTGGGATCCTCTGGCAGAAGGCTCAGCCTGGGAGTGTGCATCTAACAGGGGCAGGATGCAGAGATGGTCTAGTCTGCAAGGGAGGGAAGAACTTGCTGGTTCTGTGGGCTGTTGGACCAGCTTTGGAAGGGATCTGTGGCTCTGGTGCCAGCGCTCCGAGAGCCTCTATCCTGTGGCAGTGTCTGGGAGGTGAAGATGTGTCTCCCCTTGCTGAGCAGGGAAAGAGGCCAAGGACTACGAGAAGGAAAACGTGAGGCGGATAAAGGAGATTCAGAGGAAGTGCAAAGAGAAGGAGCGAGCCCAAGAGCACAGCCAGCCCAAGCCTGTGAAAGCTCTGTGGAAATCCCAGAAATACGAGAATGTGGAGTCAAAGGTGAAGGCCAAGCTGCAGGTTGGTATCTGTGGAGGAGCTCTTGAACTCTCCAGATTTGGGGTATGGCTCAGCCATGAAGGATGGGGGGATGATGGAGACAAGGGAGTCCTGGAGCCCACAGGATCTGGAGGCCCCTCAGTGCTGAAGCACAATGTGGCAGTGGGGCTGTGAGTGAGAGCATGTGGTTTGGATCCAGAGAGTGATTGCTGCAATAATCCCTGTCCTGCTTCTCCGTCACAGCCATGTTTTCTACCAAGAGATTCTCCCATCTGGCTTTTCAGCTTCCCTGTGTTTGGGGCAGCGCTTCTCTGGGGTTTGTGCCAAAAGACTGTGGTGTTTTACCCCGTGGATCGTGGTTCTCAGAGGTAGATCTGCAGGCTGCACTGAGCCCCAGTCCAACTATTCCCACCCTGGGGATGCACAGTGAGAGGGCAGGGTGTTCCACACATTATTCCCCAAGTGATTGTCCTGGTGAATAACCACTGCTCAGGGGGGTCACACAGACATCTCCAGGCAGTCAGGGTGGAGGCCTCATAAGTCAGCACAGCCTGTGTGGGTGCTGAGTTGGAGCCTTTAAGTTCCTCCTCATCTCTGCATTGCTTTCCCTTTCTGTGGCCAGCTTTCGGTGCTAAAATGACATGTATTGATAACAGCTGCAAAAATTTGGCAGGATGATTCCCAAGCCGGTGGTTCCAAATGCTGTGTCCCTTCCTGGTGTGTCACCAACCTCTGATATCTGTGACCCTTCCACACATGGGAGCAAACCCACGAGTGCTTCAAGAACACAAGCCTACGCTCTTGTTTGACAAATCCTCTGGATCAGAGGAAGATTGAGCTCATTTCTTCCTTTGTTTTGGGGAAAGGGGGTGGTCTCTGCGCAGGCAGTTTCTGCGTGGTGCGTTACTTGTGCTCTGTGTATTCCTCCAGAGAGGCCCTGGCACTGACTCATGATGCTTTAACTGTTGCTGTGGCCCTCCTAGAGCTGAGGTAGTTCCTGTGAAGAATCTCCATCTTCTGTGAAGCTGCTACTGCTGCTGAGAGTTTCAGTTGATTCTGCTGGATCTTGATGACTAATGCAGAGCTTTTTCTCTGTCATCTGTCCCTGAGGCTGTTAACTGTAGCAGTTGTCTTGGAAAGGGTTCTGGCAGTCCCAGTGCTCCATAGGGGGAGATGGGGCAAGCTGTGCTCTGTGCTTCTGAGGTCACAGATTCAAACAACTTCGAGCCAGCTGTGTTGGGTAAAGGCAATTCTCATTAACTTACCAGAGAGACCCAGATCTCCTTTTGAAACAAGGCTGATCATCTTCTGAGCAAGAACAGTCTGGGCAGTGATGAGGGCATGCCATACCCTGCTCCTCACACCAAACCCACCAGTGTGACTGCCCAATCCCATCAGTCTGCAGCTCTGCCCAGCTGAATGGGCCAGGCAAGAAGAAATCTTCCCCAGGGAGCTCCAGTTCAGCTGAGACCTTGGGTATTTGTAGAGATCTGGGGGTGGCCCTGTGCAATTCCCATCACTCCCCAGGGCAGAGCAGTGCCCCAGCTGCATTTTTCATTAGGTCACCCACTTGCCACACTGTAAACTTTCAGTTTTCAGGGTTTGTTTGCAAAAAGACTGTCTGAGATAGTCCCAGACCACCTGCTAGACATCAAGTACTATCACTCTATGCCACAGCCTTTGAAGATGCCCCTCAGGTACAGTTCTATCAGACTCCTTCACTCTCTGCTCCTTTTTCTTTCTAGAGTGATATAACCACAGATTTGAGGTGCTGAGCAGAGCAGCACTTGAGAACAGCACCTCAGCAAGCAGCTGCATCCCTACCTGCTTGATCCAAATGTTTTTCTGCAGAAAATTTAGTGGTTCATTCAGTGGCCAGGTCTGGATCTGTTGCTGTTTGGTTGCCTTTGCTGACTGACTACAGATCCCCCAAGATCTTCTGCTGGGCCATGGCAGAAAGCCTGTGCTGTCGTGTGCCTGCTGGAAACCTGTGGCTGAGCTCATGGTTCACCACCCAAACTTGGTTTAGAGGATTTTTCTTTGCTGCAGCCTCCCTCCACTGGTGGATCTTTTCTTGCCTTTCTCAGGAGACCTCCCCACCTCCAAATCCCGAGGCTGTGAATTTCCTGAGGGCATATTCTCGCTGTGGCTCTGGGATCAAGCCATGCAGGCCACTGTCCCCAAGGCCTGTCAGAGCAAAAGCAGGAGCAGACACAGAGTCTCCAGAGGCACAGGGTGCTGAAACCAAGGTGAGTTACACTGATCCATTGCTCCTGCTTTGAACTCTTCATGTCTTCTTCTAAAGCGTTGGGTCAGATGTGCTGCATGATCAGGGAGATCTGTAAATGCTGTTCCTGGCTGAAGGGAAGGAACAGAGTCTTGGTCACTGGGGTGGTGAGATGGATATTCAGGGTCTGTTAATTCTAGCTTCATCCTCACTCATAGTTAGGGAGATCATGAAGTTCCCTGTGAAAATTCCACCTCTTCATGCCAGCAATCTCAAATCTGCTATTCCAAGGGCTTTACAGGAGGTCTTGGGGATTTGGAGGCTGTTCCCAATGTAATCAAAGGAACTGTGGCTTCTGGATGTTAGATAAAAATTTGGGAAATGGGTGTGCGTTTTAGTAAGGAGAGTTAAATCAACATTGGTAGTTAAACCTTGCAAGTAGTCTGTTTGGGAGGTCCTAAACAGCTCCATGACTCATGTCCTTTTCCCTTGGCGAGTGTGAGATTGTCAGTTTGTTGGTTCCTAAATGCCATGAATGACTTAATTAAACAGGACATGATCTACAAAGGAGAAATACCAGGGAAATCTTAAATGCAAACACAGCCACCTTCTCCATTGTTTCATCCAGCAGAAGAGCTGTGGTGGAGGTGCTGTCTCTGGGGAAGTGCCCCAAGGATCAGCAAAATTCCTGCTCTGCCAGGGTTTCTGTTGCATTTCTTGGCCTGGTGAGCGCCCAACCTGTTTTTCCTCTGCCCTCAAAATTCATCAGTAAGAATCATGGGGACTATTGTCAAGCCTGTTTTTTTCTGTCCTTCTGGCTTTTAAGGTATGTGGTCATCTTGGGGACCTTACAGAGGCCAGGTTTAGGCTTGGCTTTTGGTGCCTGCCTTCCCAAACCATGGCCATAGCTCCTGCCTGTGTTTGGCTGCACACTGAGATGGGCTGTGCTGAGGGTCTGTCTGTCCTGCTGTCACACAATTCAGTATCTTGTGTGGTGCATTTTTTCCCTTGCATGGGCAGTGGCAGCTGGCTGTGTGCACGTGCCCAGCCTGCCCCTGATGCCTCTCTCTCTCTTTTCCAGGTGCAGGTGGAGGGCAGGAGCGTTGACTTCATCAGGCACAATGCCTGCAGTGCCAAGCGGGCCCCTCTGCGCCGCTCCCAGTCCCTGCAGGCGCTGGCCGAGCTGCTGGAGCAGAAGCAGCGGGAGCAGGAGGAATACAATGCCAAGCAAAAGGGCCACGTCCCCCAGTAGTATGTGTGCCCCTCTCTGCTCCATGAGACTGCAACAGCCTTAGCTGCACTCCCCAGCTTCTGCCTGGAGAGATGGGCTGGGCACAGAGGCGCACTCACAATGTGCAGCAGTGCCATTTTCTGTCACCTGGGGACAACACTGTCCCTCCTGCTTTCTTGACCTAACCAGCATCCCATGCCCAGTGTAACAGGGTTCAGAGGGAGTTTTGTCTCCTCCTCCCTTGCTTGCTGTTGTACAATGATGTTGATGTGGGGAAGCTCTGTGTGCCTTGAGAAATGTGCTGCTGTCCCTCTAAGTTTTGTTCCATGTGATGTGGCTTTGGCATGAAAAAGTCTCGTTTTGGAGAGGCAGAGAGCTTGCTCTGTCTCACAAGTGTTCGTCCTGCCTTGGGCCTGGCATCCAGGGAACATCCAGCTAGTGCTGTACATTTTGGGGCTCTGCATGGAAAACAGACCCTGTCCTGGGACTGACTGTGGTGCCAGTCCTTTGGCTGTGCTGTCTTCTGCAAGCATCCCTGGCTCTGAGCTGCTCTGTCCAACTTCCTTCTGCCACTGACCCACAGATGGTTTGGTGAGGACTCAGTGAGCCAGAAACAAGGAGCAGCAGCCCTTGTCTGCAAGGAGCCTGTGTCACATGCATCTGAGTGCATCTCTCCCAGCAGCCCCTTGTGGAGCACATTTGCTGGCCCACGTGTGTGATTTAAACACGGTGTATCCCCCACCATGAGGGTGTGTGCCAGCACTTGGGTCCCTGGGGCCCTCAGCCAGTGACACGGAACCTGGTGGGTTTTGAAGGGCACATTCCTGGCCTCTGCCTGTGCCCCTGGGCCACTCCTGCCAGATGTGCTGACACCTGCTCTCCTTTGCCTCCAGCCTGCTGGAGAGGAAGGAGCTGTGGCGCAAGCAGATGGAGGAGCGGCTGCGAAACCTGCCAGACCCCGACACGCCACCCGGTCACACCATGATGCCCGAGAGCCAGCGGCTGGAGACCCTCAGCAATCTGAAGCAGAGTGAGAGGAAAAGGAAACAGGGATTGCAGCTCAGAAAAACAGACAATCCTAGACAGGATAAGGGAGAAGAGACACAGGGACACAGATTCCTGCCACTTGGAGAGTTGCCTGGATTAAGGCATATGTAGGCAGGATGTGAACTGTGTGCATGGAAAGAGCAATCAATGTCCTGCAGGTTACAGGACTGGCTCTCTGCAGCAGACTTGTCCAGTGGACCTGATGTTAGGATTGCTATTGCTCCTAAAATCTTAGAAAGATTTTGGTTGAAAGGCACCTTCAGAGGTCTCTAGTCCGATCCTTGGTTCTCAAAGCTGGAGCAGGTCCCTCAGATCCTTACCCAGCAGAGCTTTAAGGTTTTTTTTAAGTTTAAGGATTCTAGGCCCTTGTTCTAGTGCTGCCATTGTGTTCATGGTTATAGCACCAGGAAAAGGATGGGTTTCTTTGCTCTTCAACTTACACAACTTTTTTTTTTTCTCTTTTTACAGGCCAGGAGCAGCTGACAAAGGACCTGGTTCTGCTGCCCATGCGTGGAGACAGCCTCAAGATGCAGAAGAGGCGGGTAGAGCTCGAGAGGAAGCTCTCCCAGATAGACGAGGCGATCAGAATTTTCTCAAGGCCAAAAGTCTTCATCAAGTTGGACTCCTGAGCTGGTGGGCCCAGGTGTGCTGTGCTGCTCTGCCTGAACATCCTTTGTTGCTGGGCAGGAATGGACATCACTTTTTGGGAGGGAAGGAGAGGAAGCCAAGTTCCAGACCCTGGGCCCATGCAGGTGCCGATAAGTGTCCAATATGCAGCTGGCACCTCCTGCTCACCTTTCAGTGCTGTATCTTGTCCACAGGAAAGGGGGGGAGATGCCCTAAAAAAGGCCCTGCTCAGTGGTCTGCAGAACAATTGTCTCCTTCTTGGCTTCTCACAGATCATCTCTCTGCTCTGGATCTGTGGCATCACCTCTTACTTTCCCTTTTTTTCCTACTTCTAGAAACTGGTAGGAGGTCTCTTGTGCTGCTGCCTGTGGTATTCCTTGCCACTCTCTTTCTCCTGAGCTGGACCACGTTCATGGCTCATCCTGGGCACCTGAGAGCTCAGGGGACAGCTTGGGGACAAGAAACAGGCACAGAGCTTCAGTGTTTTCTGTCCAGGGAAGGGCTGGGCTGTCAGGAGGGTCCAGTCAGATGTCTGGAGGAGCCTTTGTTGTCTGTGTGGCAGAAGATACTCCAATAAATCATAATTTCCATCTTGCAGTGTGTGTGCAGCTCCCAGTGGGCCCAGCAGGGCCTGAGGAATGGTGTGGGCAGCAGAGACCATCAGCACTGGCACAATGCAGACAGGGGCTGAATTGTGGGTTTCACAGGGCTGGGTGCTGGAGCATGGTGGTGGGACATGGACTGGAGAATGTGCAAAATCCTGCTGGATCTCCATCCACAGGCTGGCAGGACAGGGCTGGGAAGGTGCCACGTAAGTGAACTCACTGCCTTACCTTCAGATGCCATGCAGGAACCTGTGCAGACCTTTGCAGGGATCTTGCTGAATGAAGCAAAGAAAATTTTAAGCTGTAAGAGATGGCTGGAGGACTTGGTGCATCTCCTGCTCAGCAGAGGCATGGTGCTACAGCTTGGAGCCATATCCAGCTGAATTAGGAGAATCTCCAAGGATGGGATTGCCCCCATCACCTTGCTGGGGCTGTCTCCAGACAGTGCTGGCCTCAGGAGGAACATTTTTTCCCCTGAAATCCCATCAAGTTTTCCCTTCTTGCAGCTTGTGCCGTTGTTCTGTCTCCTTTTGCTACACAGGGTGTGCACAGATCCCCCAAGCAGCTGCCTTTTTGCAGGGGTTGCTCCATCTTGGGCAGAATTTTGTGGTGGGGATATTGTGGCGTATTCCAGCCATGCCTGTGCCACCTGGCACACTGTGCCCTGGGATGTCAGGGCCAATGCCGCTGCCAAGGGCTGGGGAATATTTTGGCACTTGAGGGCTGGAGGAGGTGAGATGCCAACTGGAAAATCACCCCATGTGCCCCTGGGGCCACTTCAGGGCAAACCCCAAGCCAGGCTGAGCTGGCTGGATGAGAGTGACTGGGGGCCATGGGCACAGCTCCTGGGCACCTCCCTGCCCAAAACAAGCCTGGGCCAACCTGCTGTCAAATCTGCTCTCTGGTCTGTCTGGGCTCTGGCTTTGTGCTATGAGTGTCCTCAGCCCTTGCTGCGCTCCCTGCCTGCCCTGGCCTGAATGGAGGCTCTGAATGGAGAGTTGGTGCTGACTTTTCAGACCCTGAGAGCTGCAGGTCTTCCTCCTTGCCAGTCCCACCACAAGCCCTTGGCAGCAGTGAGTGCCACCATCAGCTTGGGGGCCCCAGCAGAGCAGCAGGGACAGGGGCAAGCCCCAAGCTTGGGGCTGAAGGAGGAGGATGAGGCTGCACTATCCCCAGCAGTGTTTGCAGGGCTGAGTGACAGCTAAGGTGCTGCTGCCAGACCAGACATCCTCTGCATTAGTGAGGGCTCTGCAGCGGGAACAAGGTGGGAAGGGGGGGAACAAGCAAGGCTGATTGCATCAGGCCATCAGGCCAGGTGGCTGCCAAAAGCAGCCTGGACATGTGTCCTGGGACAGGCACGATGGGTCTCAGTGGGGTCGCCCCGCACAGCAGCGAAGTCCCAAGGTGTGCTAAGGTCAAGGCCACTGCCCCCAGGCACTGCCTTCCGTGCACAGGGCTGGGCTACCCACCCGCTGTCCCCCTCCTCCCTGCAGTGACATGAACCAGGGACAAGCACGGTGCTTTCTAGAAAAGGTTTTACTGTCCATTGCAATATATTAATGATGCATATTTCAATAATTAAAAACCCCCGCTTGCTTGGAAGGGGAGGCAAGGGGGCTCAGAGGAGCAGTGCCCAGCTTGAGTGGGTGCCACAGTGGGGCTCCCAGGGTCACGGGGAGTGGGAGAGGGCAGTGGGCGGCCCCTCTCCACCCCTGCCCGCATCATCACCCTGGCGTCCACACCCAGCCCGGATGAGCGGAAACCCGGCCGGCCACCGAGTGGCACGGGCCCCTGCAGCTATAGGGTCAGGAGGGTGCCATCCTCCCGTCCGCTGCCCCTGCCAGGGCTGCCGTCGTGGCTGCCAAGGGACTGCAGGGAGCCCCGCGAGCTGTGCGGGGACAGGCTCCGCTGGAGGGGTCCGTCCGCGGGGCCCCCGTTGGGGCAGCCCCCAGGGATGTAGTGGGACGCGCTGTCGCTCTCGATGACCAGGTCGCCCTCCTCGTCGCTCTCGGCCGTGCTGTAATTGCTCAGGTACTGCGAGGCCGGGCTGGGGGTCTGCTGGCTGGGGGTGCTGTCCGTGGACATGCCGGAGCTGCCCGAGGCCTTGCTGCTGCGGATGACGTTGTTGCGCTGGTTGGCCGGCTTGACGGTGATGATGAGGTTGTGGCTGTTGGCCACCATCATGTCCGTCACTTGGTCCAGGGACTTGCCGGCCACATCGATGCCGTTCACCTCCAGGATCTCGTCGCTCACTGCCAGCAGCCCCGTGCTCTCAGCCAAGCCGCCCTTCACCAGGCGGGAGATGAAGATGCCGGGCACCTTCTCGACGCCCTGCGGAGCCACGCGCACGCTGACGCCGTCGCGGATGTAGAAGCCCAGCGGTTTGTCGGAGCCGTGCTTGTGGAGCCGCACGCGCCGGTGCGTCTCGGGCAGGATGTCCACGTCGATGATGGAGGAGATCTGGCGGAAGTCCTGGGGCATCCCGATGAGGAGGTGAGGCTTGGCCCGGTAGTGTGCTGGGCGCAGCAGCCCTTTCTTCTTCCGCTGCAAGGAGTTGGAGGCGAAGACGCTGGCATCAGACTCTGCTGTAGGGAGCAAGGGAGGACACAGGTCAGGCACTGCAGCTGCTGGGGATGTGAACGCGTGCCCTTGGCCCCAGGTGATGTGGCAGCGGCCAGCAGAAGGGCCCTGCTCACAGGTCTCACTGGCTTTTCCTCCCCAGATCATCAGCCTGGCTTTCCCTGCAGCCTGTCTCCGCTGGGGCCCATCTCCTGGGATTACCCAGCGTACACAGGCACACAGGCCAGGATTAGTGGGATCGAGGCAGTGATTCAGCCTTAATCACACTTTAAGCCAAACTCTGCAGTTTAACACTAGAGCTGCCAGCCCTGATGGCCTGGGAGCTGCAGCTATGCCCCAGTTTTGGTTTGGGGAGAGAGGACCCCCCACACAAGTGTGCTGTGGTGACAGCCAACTCCCTTAGGGCCAGTCCAACCTCAGGAGATAGCACCAGAGTCTTCTGCCCCACCAGAGCAGGGCTATCGCTGTCATGGGTTGGTGATAGCCACCACTGTGTCCTGTAGAACTCCGCCATTCCCAAGTACAGAGATGCCTCATCTCCTGGAAATTCATCCCAGGGTTGCAGCATCCTCAGGGCCCCTAAATATCCCAAACTCTGATTTGTGCCCATGTCTCTTATTCCACCATCAGGCACCTTCATACAGGGTTTGATTCCTTCCTTCTGGACCGTGGCCTGGGGCTGCTCTGTGGGGCCCAGCTCCAACCCATCATCCTTGGCCTCATCCACCAGCTGCTGAGGAGTATCCCCTGGTTCCTCTCTGGTTTCTCCCCATCTCTTTCCGTGTGGGACCCCAGATCTGGATGCTCCATGGTCGGCACATTTTCCATGGTGTCCCCCACCAGCATCTGGACCCTGCTCCAGCTGCAGGGCTGCTAGGGATGTCCCCAAGCCCAGGGGACATGGGATTTCTCCCTAGCCAAGACAGCCTGCCAGGGCTCCTGGCTTATAAATATCTCCCTGCACACACAGCCCTGGCATATTTTTAGCTCGGGGAAGGGCGGCGGAGGCTTTCCCACAGCTATTTCAGCACACAGCTCCTCTCCAAGGGGTGCAGAGTGGCTGGGCCAGGCAGGTCCAGCACACCAAGGATGAGCCCTTTGGTGGCCCTGGAAATGTCCCACACTTTCCCCTGTCCTTCCCACAAGCCTTGGCCCAGCCAAGGAGGGCCAGTGCCGTTGTCCCAGCCAGGCTGCCCCACAGGGATGGCTTCACCCAATGCAGTGATGGCACAGAGGGGAGCCCAGCTGCAGCCTTTGCTTTGCCCCGCTGTGGCAGGACTGTGAAGCCCACTGACAGGAGCACACCTGTGTGTTTGCACAGCTCCCTGCACCCGGCGCTGTGAGAGGCTCTGCAGCCACATTCCTCAGCGACCCAGACCGGTTCAACGACAGCTCAGCCTTGGGATGACCTGGATCCATTTTAAATCAGCTGTGATTCACCTAGGACTTGCTCCTGGCCTCTCTGCTCACCTCCCTGTGGTGCTGCAGGCCCTGCGGCCCCTCTCCTGCGGGCACAGCTGGGTGCTGGGGCTCCCTGGTGCTGCCCATGGAGCCAGGCTCTGCCTGCTCCCTCTGCACGCTGTGCTGTATTGGCACAGTCAGCCATGGGCCCTCACAGGCTTCTCCAGCAGCCCACAGTGTGGCTCTTGGGAGCAGGAGTGATGCTCCCACAGCGGCCCTGGCACACCCACCCCTGCACTGGCTCTCCATGTCACAGCCGGGGTATAAGCATTGGGCCAGGAACAAGGGATGGTTGGTTCAGTGCTGGCAGCAGCAGGCACACCACGGGCTCCAGCAGCCTGGATCACTGCTGCCAGCCCCCACACCATGCACCCACAGAGGAAACATGTTCAGGGCATCCCACACCACCCTGATGCAAAAGCCCAGGAAAACTGACACAGCAGCTAGGGCTGGCCGTCAGCATCACCCCTCGCCTTCATACCACTAACACTAGAGACTTCATACCACTAACATGAGCTGGAAACATAGACTCACTCTGGATGCTGTGCAGGGAAAACTGTGGCTCTGGGTCACTGTGTGAACTGCTGACTGATGATGCTATGAAAGAGAAAACCTCGGTGCTACTAAAATGAGTGGAAGGGGATGGGCTTGTTTTCGCTGCAAACAGGAGAAATACTTGGTGTGTTTGTCACTCTCTCCAGGATGCTGCTATCAGGATGTCATCAGGTGTACCTTTGCAAGGAAGTGGCTCCCTGGGAACATGCCACTAAGGTAAGGGCAAGCCCCTGGTCTGCCAGGGGGGGCACCAAGCCTTTTCCCAACACCAAAAATCCAGCAGCACCTGGCACCCTGAGAGGTCTGCTAAAATGAAGGCTGTTGCCTCCTCAGGGCAGGGAGCTGGATGGGGCTGCTGGCACAGAGCTCACAGGAGCAACACGGGTGTTATCTGGGAGCCCACGCAAGCCTGGCTGGAAAACACAACTTCAAAGGGGTGAATTGCAAGTATCTGCCTTTGCTCACCAGGTTTGCATGGGGCTGGGCTGAGGCAGGTGCCCTCGGCTGCCAGGGAGAGCCCGTGTGGGTGCCACAGCCCTGGCAGGGTTCTGGCAGCCTCCCAGTTGCCACCATCTCCACATCCATCCACCAAAGCAGTGGCTGGAGGGTATGTGAGCAGCCATGCCCCTGCTGGCACAGTCCAAAAGTGGAACCAGCAGTACCGCGGGATGTGGCTCATCTCTCTTGACAGGAGGATGCATCCAGTGCCCTGCTTACCCTTCTTCTGGATGATGACCCTGAGGAGGGGGTTGGCAGAGGACAGGGCTTTGTGGTAGTTGTCGTCGTTGTTGATGGGCAGGAGGTCGCCGTGGATGTCTGTGTAGCCCAGGAGCACATCCACCCGCGGGATCTGGTGCACTGTCTGCAGCAGCTGGTAGAAATCCTGGAAGCTGCCGGCACCAGAGCGCTTCATGGCAAAGCGGCGAAATTCAGCGTCAAACTGCAGAGGAGGACGAGGAAGAGGAGGAAGAGGGTGACTGGGCAGGGCTGTGTCCCATCAGCAGGACTGATGCAGGCAGGGCACCACACAGAGCTGCCCTGGGGCAGGCAGAGCCTTGGTGCTGCCAGCTCCGGAGCCCAGCAGCACCAAGGCAGCAGTGCCAGTCTTGAAGAGACCATCCCAAAAACAAAGTAAAAGAAGCGAAGCCATTTTTCTGCCCAAACACTGAAGTGATGGGGCAGAAATACGGCCCCGCGGCAGAGGAAGGACTCTCTGGCTGTACCACCAGCCGTGGCAGACTCCGTGCTGCCGGGAGGCCCTTCCCTGCGACACAAGCGCTGCCGTAGCACCTGGTGAGCAACAGCGCTAATTAATGCCTCCTTCCGTCACGACGAAGGGGAAGCCAGTTAAGAACAGGCTGAGGAACACTGCGAGGATCGCGCTGCCCGCGGGGGTCACACCCCAGCTGTCGGGGCAGGCGGTGGCCACCACGTCTTGACAAGGAGGGCACCCTGCACCCTGCCGGGGGTCCCGAGCAGGCAGTGCCACAGCTGGGCGAATGCACAGCTGGATAAGGGTGCAGAAAGGGAGTGCACACATCTGGGTGAGCACAGGGATGGGTGGGTGGGCACAGGTGAATAATGGTGCATATCTGGGTGACGGCACACATCTGGGCAAGGGTGTGCCAGGTGAGCACATATCTGGATAAGCGGACACGTCTGGGGGAGACCATAACTGGGTGAGCGCACAGTCATGCAGGTGTGCACATCTGGATGCACGGCATGGGCTCGTCCCTTGCTGGGGGTGCACATCTGGGTGATGGCATAGCCGGGGATAAGCATGCCTTGGCGAGCACGCACGTCTGGATGAGTGCACATCTGGGCGAGGTGTATCCCGGGGTGACCGCACACCCCGCACACCCGCACCGGCGGGGCCACCCCGCACACCGGGGCTGCCGGAACGGCGCACCGGCGCCCTGCGCATCAGGCGAGTGCTCCGCCGCGACGTTCCCACGGCCGCGCCGAGCGAGCCCGCGGCCCGGCAGAGCCCACGGTGGCGGGACTCCGCGGCCGCCGGGCCGGGCTGAGCTCGGGGAGGCTCCGGTCAGCGCCGCCGCAGCGCAGGGAGCGGAAAGCCCGCACGGCCTGGCTCCCGCGCCGCTCCCTGGTGCGCGGTGCCACCCCACGTGCGCTGCCCGACGCGGGGGCGACGCGCTCGGTCGTGACCCGGCGGAACCGGCACGGGCATCGGCATCGGCATCACCGGACCCGTCCCCGGCGGGCGCTTACCTTGCTCTTGACCTCGATGACGGGCTCGGCGGAGCGCGCCGGTGTGCGGTGGTGCTTGGCCATGGTGCGGGCCGGGCCGGGCCGCGGGGCCGCGCCGCCACCGCCGCTCCCGCGGCCACGGGGGATTTTCACCGGCCATGACGTCACCGGCGGGCAGGCCGGGCGCCGCCGCGCCATTGGCCCAGGCGGGGCGCGGGGCGTGGCCGGGCGGCTGCTGACAACGTCGCCGTGGTAACGGGGGTGGGGACGGGCGGGCGGCAGGACCCCCATCCTCATCCCTGTCCCCATCCCATGCCCTTCCCCATCCCAATCCCCTCCACGTCGGCCCCGTCTACCCGAGCACGGCTCCGCTCCCCGTCGGGCTGCCGGCACCGGGCACCGCGCCGGTAACCTCGGGCATCCCATGGCTGTCAGGAACCTCATTAGCGACACATTAAACCCAACAGCGGCCCCTCTCTGGGGACACCGAGCTGCGCCGTGCGGCCAGCATCCGCACGGAATCCCCGCGAGTGTCACCGGTGGAAGCCTCGGCCCCGCCGGGGAATATCCCGGCGTTTCCCCATGCTGGCGGGGGGCTTCCCATGCTACAGGTTTGGTGGCCTTTGGCAGAGGCAAGCCTGGTAGCAGGAGATGTTTTCCAGCTGTGTGCCTCGTTCCCCTCCTCCTGGTTACAGGTTCGTTCTGGCTTTTCTCCCTTGTCTGGCAGGGAAGTTTCGTGCTGCCCCAGAGCAGTGTGGGCCAGGGAAGGTTCATTGTTTCGGGGATGATTTGCTTTACTGAGAAGTGGAACAGCTGAGCAAGTAGAGGCAAACTGACCAAGTTCACCGGGTGTGCAGCAAAGCCTCTCCTGACCCATCCAGGCACCAGGCTGTCAGGATGTGCATTATCTCCTCGGTGCTGCCAGGCTGTGTCCACAGGTGATGCCCATGGGACGTGTCTCTGGCAGAACTGGCTCTTCTCGGGCACAGAAACACTCAGGGACAGCCAGAGAACCCCTTCCCCACAGACCCCGCTGCAGTGCAGCTCTGCCAGCGATGCCAGAGCTGTGAGCTCACTCCTGCCAGCACCTGAACGAAACTAAAGTCTTGTTCACGGATTCTGGGGAAATTTGGAGCTAAAGACGCCATGACAGCAGCACCATTAAACAGTCTTTAAAGCCAGACACCTAAAAAGCACAGTGCTTCCAAAAGAATAAACGTATCGAACCAAGCCTGGAGAATCAGCTTGGCTTGTCTGGATTCTGTTGCCCTTTGATCCTCTCCCTATCCTGGCCCAGGGAGCAACCTTTGATCAGGACAAAATTGCATCACACCCTGGCATCCCCACAGCACCAGGCCTGCGTTAGCTGGTCCTGGCAGGCTCGTCCCCTGTGTCACTGTGCTTGGGTGAGCAAAGGAGCACGCCAGGCTGCAAGAACGTGGGGCATCTCCTCATGGGCTGGTAAATTCTCCTCTGGCTGTTCCAGCTGCGCCAAGTGATTGCCACGCCACGAAAATCAGCCTGACCACAAACAGAGCTGTAAATTCATCAGCAATACCCTGCTCAGCCCCCCAGTTTTGTTTTTTTTTTTTTTCAAACAGAGTAATTGTGTTGAGGTCAGAGAGATAATCCCGATTTACACCGTGGTTAATATTTACGCAGGCGACAAAAGCAGCTTGCAGCCCTTCATCTCCAATTTTGGTAAATCGGAGTTAATTGTTCAGCAGGACAGTGAGGTGATGTACTGGTCACACCTGGTTTGTGCTGTGGCCCCTTATCTGCTGCCACAGAGCGAGCTAAGCTAAGCAGACAGTATCAGGACAAGTGTTTTCTTTGCCTCAGTCCCAGGAGCTC